ATCTTAGGATAACCGAAACCAAACCGAACTCCGAACGGAAAAATCATTGGTTCTTCAGTTTGGTTCGGTCCAGAACCGATAATCCTACTGTCCAGGATAGTATGAAGACACCCTCTGATATCCTCAGATACGGTAGAATAAGGATATTAAAAAATATCCAAGGATATTGAAGGAAATGCAACAGAAACGTCAAAAATCAGCAACTATGTATATGAATAGTTATCTCTAGAAGTAAAGTTCACCCTAGGCGTTACATTTTCGCTATATCATATCTAATTGCATTAAGATGTGGTTATTTTAAACACTAGATTGCTAAATTAGTAATTATTGCGTCTATTTTAGCTCGTTTCGAAAAATTCTTACGTATAAATTAAAAAAAATGTGCGTAATTTTACTGATTTACACAAATTTAACCAAAATTATCCAAAATCGATTATACGGGTTCAAAAGACCAATCTGCCTTTACTTGGAACAAATAAAAAATATATTTTTTATTTGTGTCTTTATTGGTATCTAATTTCCAAAAATAATTGTTTCAATTAAATTTAAAATTTTTAACGTTTAAAAGCTATAATTTAAATTTTATTTGCTTTAATTAATTCAATTTAAATAAAAAATTAAAAAAAATTTTTCCACCTGCAGCTATCAGACCATTCCCGTTATTATTACCGCCACCGTCGCCCTCAAAAAAATTTTGACGACGTTGCGGTGGCAGCTGATGCTGAGCGTTTTCTATCCTGTTTGTAATGTTTGCGCAGATGGTTATTTGTTCGGTACCAATTATTTCGTTTGCAATTTTTGAGGAAGCTTTTGAATAATATATACTGGCAATTTTTATTATATATTATATTAAGTAATTTATTATTTATTATATTATATTAAGTAAATTATTATATTATATGAAGTAAAATATTAATAAAAATTTTTATTTTATTAATTTGTAGTTTATTTATTAGGTCTAAAGTATATTCTGTGAAAATGGAAGAAAATAAAAGTGAGGCAGAACTTTAATTATAGGCTTTGAGATTTTTAATAAATTTCAAATGGATTCCCAGATATTCAAAGGAAAATTCAAAGGAAATTTTCTAATTTGAATAAAGTTATTGTAAAGCATTAATTTCCTAAGGCTGTGCAGTAGGCGGCGTGGTGTAAAGGCTAACACATGAGTCCGCTCTACTGAAGATGATTTTTCGTCCCAGCCTCAGAATCCTTACTTTATGCCAAAAATAAAGTGCCCGATTACTCTTGAGTCATGCTACAGACTATAAACATTGCTACAGGTGCTCGAATAAGTTCAAATAGATCATATGTATTTTATGTGCCCGGCATACTTTATTTTCCTACGTATCTTTAACTGATTAACAATAAGCCTAATTAAGCAATTTTAATTCTTTAATCTTTTTTTACTCCTCCGCTTTTAATTTGCCGAGAACGTATTGGATAATTGTAACTACCAAAACACAAATGAGCCCAAAACCCAAAAGATATTATTAAATATAGCACATAGTTGATAAAAGATACATCAGGCTTAATTGTCGGGTTCATAATAGATAACCACCAAAGTTTTTTACGTATAAACAAAAATAAAATTGGAGATCGTAGTTAAATAAGAGATTCAATTCTAGTTACAAAAATAGCATTAAAGTAATTACATATTTTATTAAAATAAAAAAACAATGGCTAAATGCTAATCTTTTGGCTAAAAATAATGCAAAATCTAGTAAAAAATAAGTAATAATTATACCTAAAATTTATAGCTATTTTGTGTTTATTATAAAAATTATTTGAAGGGAAATTTAGAAGAATGAAAAAATGTATGAGCCTGAGAAAATCTTAGATTATTTATTGAGTTAATTTTAATAAATTTAAAAATATTTTTTCAATTTTTACTAAACTACATAGCTAATGAATGAAAATTAGCCTAATTTGCTAGGAGCGAGCATAAATAATCTTTGGAGCATCTAAACTACCAGCGTGACAAACCTGGCCACAATTTATTTTTCAGCTGATAGATAGAGTTGAGTGACTGGGGTGGCATTACCGGACCTAGGTTATAGGACCGTACTTACTTGTCGGTTACTAGGCCTTATGTGTTAACACTAAACCACACCGCCTCCCGCATAGCCTTAGAATTTTAATTGTTAATAGAATCATGGCACGTCAGGTCGTCATACTCGGAACAATGTCTGGCAAAGCTGTAGGATAACAAAGCTCGATGGAAGTTGAAGACTTTTTCTAAATCCAGGACCATCTCTATAAGTTAGGGTTAACCGTGATTAGGACTTATGATAGCCGATTAAATTATTTAATTATTAGGACCTTTTATTAAAGCTAAATTTGCCTAAATTCAACTGAGGCATAGTTGACCGGACTTATATGTGCTAACATTAAACACTGCCGTCTCATGCATAGCCCTAGGAATTGAATAGCTATATGTTTTACAACCTAATTAATAAAAATTATTTATCCGGTGGCTTACAAATTATTTTGTTATCAAAAAAATATTAAATGTTATGCTTTATAAAATAATAGAAAACTAAAGAATGGGAAAATAAAAATAAATAATAATTAAAAATGCTGGTTAAAGCAAACAAGTTTGAAATTATTAAAGCGTAATAGACTCCACCCCTGAGAAAATAAAAATATTAATAACATTAATTGCGCAATCCCGCGTTAAATATTAATTAATAGTTGGCATTCTAAGGCATAATAATTATTTATAAAGTTCTTTACTCTAATTTATTCTTAAATGAAATTAAAATAGAGGAGATTAAGTAGAGACTAGAGGGTATATAGCTAATATCCCGCCCCTCTATAGGGTATATAAGGAATATCCCTCCCCCTCCTTGTTTGAGTTAGTATGGATGGATATGAGATATGAACAAAGTATCACTAATTAATCTAAGAGAATCTAGGAGAGAGAGATATGAACAGAGTATTGAATAGGGGACCGGTTTTAGAACCGAAAATTTTGAATTTTTGGCTAAATAATTGACAGTTTTTGGAAATTTTACAATTGAGAGCCGATTATCTTAAAAAATTCCCACAAAAATACACGGATATCTATCTAAAACTCAAAATGAAAACCGGGTTTTTAAAATTTTAATTCACCCAAAACCTAGATTAACTTTTAATATCCGGTCGCCAACAACTTTCGTAGTAAAGTAAAGCAGCTGGGTTATAGCTATTTCTCTCCTTTAGCTAGTGCAAAAGGTTATTAGGCGGCTGGGAGCGAACCAGCATCTTCAGTAGACCGGACTGATGTGTTAGCCATTACACCACGCCGCCTAATGCATAGCCTTAGGAATTAAATAGCTATATGCTTTACAGTGACTTCCTTAAAATTTGACCAAGAGATATATCGTCCAAAATTCCAGTTACAAAATCGAGATATTGAACATTTTAGAGTTAGGTCTCCAGAATTTTTCTACACTGCTGAATTTATATAGTGTTATTTTATTCTAAAAATTCTGACACCTTCAAGAAGCCTAGCCCGAAAACTCAATATTCTTCGTTGTTACCCAACCAACAATTTTCTTTTTTTAAATTTAAAGCTAATTTTTTACAAAATTAGCTTTAAATAAATTACCTTTGCATATTAAAAACGAAAAGATGGCTAAATGCTAGTTTTGCTAAAAATAATGCAAAATAGGCTAAAAATAGTAATAATTATACCTTGAATTTATACCTATATTGTGTTTATTATAAAGAATTTTAATTTGAGAAAAGTTAGAAGACTGGAAGGCATAAACTTGGGAAATCTCTCTTAAGAGGGGAGAGCGAAAATCATGAAACCTTACCATGTTTCTGCTTTACTTCTTACACTGAATTTGATTTGGTGAATTACATTGCTATAAAATTTAAAATGCGTCCAAAAACTTTATTTATTAAAAAATTTTTAATTTAATAATAATAAAATAAATAAAAAAGGCAAATCATAAGACAATAAGCATGCAGTTGTTTACGTGTAAGATGATCGTCTATGGAGGGAGGTGAGGGTAGAGGGGAGAGAAGGGGAGTGGGAGGAGAAGGGAGGAGAAGGGAGGGAGTGGGAGAAGATCCATCTCCCCATTTTTATTTTTTCTTTATCCCCTCATCCCCCCCCCCCCTCAACCATACAAAAAATCAATTACAACAATGGAAATCCTCCTGACATTTGTTGGCATTTCAGCTGTTTTAGGTAAGTGTTTTAGACAAACATTGTTTTATTTGTTGTCATAAACATCCAAAAAAATATATAAAAATAGTAGAGCTATCCCTCCGGGAGCTTGCTCAGAAACTGTCTACGAAGCTAAAGCCGGAGCCATGATTTTAGAATGATCAGGGCCTAGCTTAGCCATCATATGCCGTATTTATGCTAATAGAAACTCCGGTGTTTATAGTTCAACCACTCCATTTTGGGTGATTTTTTGTTCTAATAGAGACTAGTTTGTTCTATTAGAGACTGTCAAACACTCTTAATTTGACCATTAAAGTTAACTTTATAGCTGATTCATCCCAACCTGATGGATTTAATTTTGCAAGTATGGAAATGATCGGAATAAAAAATGTAAAGTATGTGCCTAACATATCTCCCGAAGAGCTGAATGAATTTTTTATTGAATTCGGTTAGAATTTTAATTTTGAAATAATAATTTTCCATCTTTCCCAGCAAAAATTCATCCTTTACATAAGCTTACATTTAACGAAGCAAATCGAGTTCTACAAAAAATTTCAAATGAAATTAACCACAAAAACGGCAAGCTAGAATTTGAGAGAAGTGAAATTAATGAGGTAAACTTTACTGTTTGAGGGGCAATTAATGAGGGGACAATTAATCTTGCTCACCACATAAGGGGACAATTAATCTTGAGAGTTAGTTTTTGATGTTTGTAATTTGGGCCTTTAGTAGGTAGGGCACAACTTCTACTAAGCAATAAAAGTTGCGTAGTTATATGAGGGAGGGCAACTAACAAGGGTAACTAATAGAGGGTAACTAATAAAGTGTGTTCTAAATGCGGATGCAGGGGGATAACTTTACCCAAGTTTATTTATTCAAAAATTATAAAATTCCAACGAAAAAGGGGTCTACTGACAACGGTGGTTACAATTTTAAGTCGATTAGATTAAACAAAAAAGGCCTTATATGGCCCTATGTCTATTTTGCCCTAGTTTTAACATTTTGTAATATTTCTAAAAAATATTGTGATTTTATGAACGTTTCAAAAAATACTTTTTAGAGCAAAAGCGAGATAATAGGAGCTTCATCGTCAAGCGTTGTTATTTCTTCAACTGAAAAAGATTTAGTAGAGGAAGAATCTTCTCCAAAAAATCACAAAATTTCACCTAAATCGCCTGGTGGCGGGAAAACCAAGTTTCAAACTGAACACGGAAACACATATGCAAATGATGCGGAACTTGAAACATTCATTGGAAACAGACACAACCTTGAGAAATGCCATCAAATAGTTTTTGTGCTCAGATACTTTGTTTCCAAATTTGCAAAGCATTGCAATACTAAATGTATTATCTCAAAATTTTTTTGTTGTGATTTTAATGATGATGAGAAGAATGAAATTTATGACTTTATTAGAGAATTGAACGAAAATTTGGTGCCTTCTTGCGATTTTCTGAGGAAATTGACTTCAGATTTAGCCCGTGATTCTGTGGATTTAAAGTAAGCATATTAAAGAATAATTAACTCTTGAGGATTTAAGTCAAGGTTTTTTAGTGTCTGATGATAAAGTGGAGTGAAGGAAAGAAGGGAAGGTTCAAAGTATTAAGTTCAAGGGTTGCGCCACGAGCCTTCGGGGTTGAAAATGTCGGGGTCCGGGTCGGGCTTAGTCGGTGTAGTGGCGCAACCCTACTATAAAGGGTAACCCCCCACGATAAAGGCCCCCCACACCCTCCTATCTCTCCCTGCTTATGTGAAGGTCCGTTCATCTTGTTATAATTTCAAATGTCTAGGTGGTGATGCCTTATCTTTTTACCTTATCTATAAAGAATAATGTAGAGTTCCTTCAATTTTCGGTAGTGCACTGAACTTGTTGAGTAACTTCTCATAACCTAATTTACCATTGGCATTTCTATAATTAAAATTAGAGTTGATCGAGACGAGACCGATATTCTCGGCTTTTTTCCAATATAGGTCTCGGTTTTTTCATTCTCGGTCTCGAACCCGATACCGATATTCTCGGTTCATTTCTCGGAGAGAAACCATACTGTATCGGTCTCGGTATCGGGTTTTTGAGTATCGGTCAATCTCGGTCTCGGGTTGGCCGATACCAGTATCGTTTTGATCAACTCTAGTTTCAATAAAAAGTGCTTTTTATTTCAGAATAAATGGTGTAACTAAGGCATCAAGTGATCATCTCAAATTAAAGGATGAAATTTCCAAATTACCGTATTTCCTATATTAGAGCCCCATGGGGCTCTAATTTTCAACTATCCTCCAAGGTGGGGCTGTATTAAAGGGTGGGGCTCTAATTGAGGGTGGGGCTTTATTTTTCAACCCTCTTTTGAGATAGAATCCCATTTATTGTATCCATTGCAACTAGAGATAAGTCGGAGGGTTTGGTCGATAAAGCCGCAAAATATCGAAAGAGAATCTATATTTTTCGATTTTTCAAGAAAAACCAAAACTTTTTAAGCAATGAATTACAAAATAGTCCCAATAGTTCAATGAGAGTGAGATTATCTATTAAATATCGGTAGATTTGGACGGATTAAAGGAAATATTATGGGACTTTTATTTGACATTGATGGATTAGAGGGATAAAAATGGATTTTAAGGGATTATGGGGAATATCAGAGGATTAAGTTTATATTGAGAGATTTAGAGGGATTATGAGGGATATTCTGGACTAGGGGTATTAGGAGGCATATGAAGGGATTTGTTTGATAAAGCTTTGGAACAGGTTCCAGAACTGGAACTGAAGAAATACAAATAGCAGTTACGTAACTGAAATCGGTTCCAGAGAAATTTTGGTTAGATATCACTGATTAGATATCTAATAGATCTCTAATAATCTCGCGAATTATCATCAAGTGCCTAACACGATTGCAACCCTTTATAAAATGATTAGATTTTGGAGGTAATAGGAGGAATTTAGAGGAATATAGGCGATATTAGAGTATTTTGACGGATAACGGGATTAATCCCTCATTTTCATCCCTAATCCCCATGATCCCTCCTCCTCAATGATCACGAAATCATAGATATCCCCCTTTATTTCCTTAACTCTCTTAATACATACATCTTAAAAGTTATTCTGATATTTTTTCCTCCAATATTTTTTAGGTGGGGCTGTATTTGGGGTGGGGCTCTAATTGAGGGTGGGGCTCTATTTTTCAACTATCCTCCAAAGTGGGGCTGTATTAGAGGGTGGGGCTCTAACAGAGGGTGGGGCTCTAATATAGGAAATACGGTATTACTTCATTGGGCAAATCCACTTTGAAAATATCAGTCAAAAAAAAATAACTCAAAATTATTAATCCATAAATAACTTACGGTATATTAATAGGGTATAGTTCGTCTTGGTATATTAGATACTATATTTAATGGTGATTCGAATGGTATATCTTAACCCAATTCGAGATTATTACTTCATTGGGCAAATCCACTTTGAAAATATCAGTCAAAAAAAATAACTCAAAATTATTAATCCATAAATAACTTACGGTATATTAATAGGGTATAGTTCGTCTTGGTATATTAGATACTATATTTAATGGTGATTCGAATGGTATATCGTAACCCAATTCAAGATTATTACTTCATTGGGCAAATCCACTTTGAAAATATCAGTCAAAAAAAATAACTCAAAATTATTAATCCATAAATAACTTACGGTATATTAATAGGGTATAGTTCGTCTTGGTATATTAGATACTATATTTAATGGTGATTCGAATGGTATATCGTAACCCAATTCAAGATTATTACTTCATTGGGCAAATCCACTTTGAAAATATCAGTCAAAAAAAATAACTCAAAATTATTAATCCATAAATAACTTACGGTATATTAATAGGGTATAGTTCGTCTTGGTATATTAGATACTATATTTAATGGTGATTCGAATGGTATATCGTAACCCAATTCAAGATTATTACTTCATTGGGCAAATCCACTTTGAAAATATCAGTCAAAAAAAATAACTCAAAATTATTAATCCATAAATAACTTACGGTATATTAATAGGGTATAGTTCGTCTTGGTATATTAGATACTATATTTAATGGTGATTCGAATGGTATATCGTAACCCAATTCGAGATGATTACTTCACTGGGCAAATCCACTTTGAAAATATCAGTCAAAAAAAATAACTCAAAATTATTAATCCATAAATAACTTACGGTATATTAATAGGGTATAGTTCGTCTTGGTATATTAGATACTATATTTAATGGTGATTCGAATGGTATATCTTAACCCAATTCGAGATTATTACTTCATTGGGCAAATCCACTTTGAAAATATCAGTCAAAAAAAATAACTCAAAATTATTAATCCATAAATAACTTACGGTATATTAATAGGGTATAGTTCGTCTTGGTATATTAGATACTATATTTAATGGTGATTCGAATGGTATATCGTAACCCAATTCAAGATTATTACTTCATTGGGCAAATCCACTTTGAAAATATCAGTCAAAAAAAATAACTCAAAATTATTAATCCATAAATAACTTACGGTATATTAATAGGGTATAGTTCGTCTTGGTATATTAGATACTATATTTAATGGTGATTCGAATGGTATATCGTAACCCAATTCAAGATTATTACTTCATTGGGCAAATCCACTTTGAAAATATCAGTCAAAAAAAATAACTCAAAATTATTAATCCATAAATAACTTACGGTATATTAATAGGGTATAGTTCGTCTTGGTATATTAGATACTATATTTAATGGTGATTCGAATGGTATATCTTAACCCAATTCGAGATTATTACTTCATTGGGCAAATCCACTTTGAAAATATCAGTCAAAAAAAATAACTCAAAATTATTAATCCATAAATAACTTACGGTATATTAATAGGGTATAGTTCGTCTTGGTATATTAGATATTATATTTAATGTTGATTCGAATGGTATATCGTAACCCAATTCGAGATGATTACTTCACTGGGCAAATCCACTTTGAAAATATCAGTCAAAAAAAATAACTCAAAATTATTAATCCATAAATAACTTACGGTATATTAATAGGGTATAGTTCGTCTTGGTATATTAGATACTATATTTAATGGTGATTCGAATGGTATATCGTAACCCAATTCGAGATGATTACTTCACTGGGCAAATCCACTTTGAAAATATCAGTAAAAAAAATAACTCAAAATTAATAATCCATAAATAACTTACGGTATATTAATAGGGTATAGTTCGTCTTGGTATATTAGATACTATATTTAATGGTGATTCGAATGGTATATCGTAACCCAATTCGAGATGATTACTTCACTGGGCAAATCCACTTTGAAAATATCAGTAAAAAAAAATAACTCAAAATTAATAATCCATAAATAACTTACGGTATATTAATAGGGTATAGTTTGTCTTGGTATATTAGATACTATATTTAATGGTGATTCGAATGGTATATCGTAACCCAATTCGAGATGATTACTTCACTGGGCAAATCGACTTTGAAATATCAGTCAAAAAAAATAACTCAAAATTATTAATCCATAAATAACTTACGGTATATTAATAGGGTATAGTTCGTCTTGGTATATTAGATACTATATTTAATGGTGATTCGAATGGTATATCGTAACCCAATTCGAGATGATTACTTCACTGGGCAAATCCACTTTGAAAATATCAGTCAAAAAAAAATAACTCAAAATTATTAATCCATAAATAACTTACGGTATATTAATAGGGTATAGTTTGTCTTGGTATATTAGATACTATATTTAATGGTGATTCGAATGGTATATCGTAACCCAATTCGAGATGATTACTTCATTGGGCAAATCCACTTTGAAAATATCAGTCAAAAAAAATAACTCAAAATTATTAATCCATAAATAACTTACGGTATATTAATAGGGTATAGTTCGTCTTGGTATATTAGATAGTATATTTAATGGTGATTCGAATGGTATATCGTAACCCAATTCGAGATGATTACTTCACTGGGCAAATCCACTTTGAAAATATCAGTCAAAAAAAAATAACTCAAAATTATTAATCCATAAATAACTTACGGTATATTAATAGGGTATAGTTCGTCTTGGTATATTAGATTGTATATTTAATGGTGATTCGAATGGTATATCGTAACCCAATTCGAGATGATTACTTCACTGGGCAAATCCACTTTGAAAATATCAGTCAAAAAAAAATAACTCAAAATTATTAATCCATAAATAACTTACGGTATATTAATAGGGTATAGTTCGTCTTGGTATATTAGATACTATATTTAATGGTGATTCGAATGGTATAAAGTAACCCAATTCGAGATGATTACTTCATTGGGCAAATCCACTTTGAAAATATCAGTCAAAAAAAAATAACTCAAAATTATTAATCCATAAATAACTTACGGTATATTAATAGGGTATAGTTCGTCTTAGTATATTAGATACTATATTTAATGGTGATTCGAATGGTATATAGTAACCCGATTCGCGATGATTACTTCACTGGGCAAATCCACTTTGAAAATATCAGTCAAAAAAAAAATAACTCAAAATTATTAATCCATAAATAACTTACGGTATATTAATAGGGTATAGTTCGTCTTGGTATATTAGATACTATATTTAATGGTGATTCGAATGGTATATCGTAACCCAATTTGAGATGATTACTTCACTGG